CACCCATGAATGCTTCAACACACATTTTTTGAGTTAATATTGGTTGCATATTCATTTTTCCATAATCCAAAATCATTTTTTTCAAAAACATTCTCAATGTCCCAATCAGAAACCATGGTGTTTAATTGTATGTAAACTTAACCCAATTTTCAACGTGCAGGCCACTTGTGAAATTTAATACTATATCAAACATCACATTACTATAAAAAAATATCTCTTACTATGGTTGGAAGAAGGATTTCCCCATAATTAATGGTCTGTGGTAACGAATTGCGTAACAGAAAGTGTGCTACTTTTCACCAGTGTGGGAATAATGACCGAGGTCAAAAGTGCTTGGTATTGGATTTGAATCCCAATGACAATATTTTGGAATTTACAAGACGTTCTTTACACCATGGTTCATAAATACAACCGTGGGAAATGTATCAAATCTTCTATCACTTTTACAGTGCCTTAACTGTTGGCCTAAATAAATTTGTTTTAAGCCAAAATCATTTTTTCAAACAAGTAAGAATTGCATCATCTCGAGAAGAATTGAAACCCAAAAAGTAAAATGTTTTATTTTATGAATTCGAAAAGGAAACATAATATCATATTAAGAAAAACATAAAGATTTTCAAATTCTTACTATCAACCATAACATTTGGAAAATAAAACATCATGTTGTATTGAGGCAACGCAACTTTATGTTTCCAAGTTTCCTCAATACAAAGGTTATGTTTCCTTTTCAAATTCACCAGATTTACCATTTTATTTTTATGTTCAAATTATTTTCTAGATGATGTTATCTCTTATTTTTTTTCCAGCATATGTTTATGGATTTATAATATAACTAAATTCATAAAAAAAAAACAAATGGTTATAAACTAAAATAAATTTCACTTTTTTAAGTACAAAATGTCAAGAACACTGTAAACTGACAGAAGATGAAAAAACTTATCAAATCTAAACATATTACCTTAGAATTTCAATATTGAACAATTTCCTTCCAAAAGACTTTAGTCTTCTCCATGCATCAAACATAAAATATAGATTGATTTAGTCTTCTCAACAAAAATCAGCAATATATCTCAACAAAAACAACAACAATAACACAAAACATTTTACTTATATCAACAAAAATAACAACAAAACTAGAAAAAAACAACATAACTAGCAAAAAAGACAAAAATAACACAAATCATTTACTTATCTCAACAATAACAACATTATAACTCAACTAAAACAACAATAATAAAACAAACCTTTTACATGTATCAACAAAAACAAGAACATAACTTAACAAAAACAACATAAAATGTTTAATCCCATCTCAAAAACAGAAACAACAACAAAAAAATAACAACATAAAACCTTAAATCTCATCTTAAAATCCTCACAATAACTCAAACCTTTTACATGTAACAACAAAACAAAAACACAACTAAGAAAAATAACATAAAACTTTTAATCTCATCTTAACAACAACAAAAAATCTGATAACAACAACAACAACAACAATAGCAATAACGCTAAACTTGTTATTACATCAACAAAAACAAAACCATGACTCAACAAATACAACAACATAAATCCTACAAGGTTTAGTGTCTCAACAACAAGAAAAATAACAAACCCTTAAAGACTACTAGTTTGAATAATAAAAACAACATAACTCGTGACACGGATGGTGGAAATGTTTTACGTTTTTGAAATGTGAAAATGATGTTAAAGAAATGAATTATGTGTTTCCTTCTTACAAGTTTCCCGTCACCTCTCATTGATCTGTACGATTTGGAGAAGATATGATGGAGGTTTGTGATATATGTGCCCATATTCATGGAGATTGGGATAAGATTTGAGAGGTTAGAGTTTTGTTTATACAGCTAGGTGTTGTTCTGTGTAGATGTGAAAAAAGTTTCGCTTAAATTTTGTTTTTAAAAACAGGGAAATATTTTCACCATGGTTGAAAGGTAACAAGTGTGGTAAAATTTTCCTCGGTAACACGCTAAAACTGTGTTACTGAGGGACATTTCACCACGGTTTTTAACTATCAACCATGGTGAAAAGTTATTTAGTTTCAAATTAAAAATAGATATAAAGGGAACACACGACTTTTATAATCAAAATAGAAAAAAACAAATTGATGGTGTTTGAATTCTAAGTGTATCCCTCTTTTACCTTTTACCGAGATTTTACTTTTGACCAAGGGAAAATACATTTAAAAAAAGCACCTCATGAATAGATATTATCTCGGTGCAATAAATGGCCAATATAACACACCCTTCTAACCCCAAAGAATAATTCGCAAAATAATAAGGATAATTCAGCTTAATTCAGCACTCAAGAGTGTCACACTTCATATAAAATATTTCTAATAATCATCTATAACATCATTTTCTTTTATGACTTCAACACATAAATTGAACTTCGCTGCAGAATCATAATCATAAAACAACTTCATTCATCTTCATAACACCAAAATAAATATGTTAACCACATGACATATCATCTGAATTGGAATTACAATAGTTCGACATCTTCAAAATCATCATAAAATATGTTAGTCAAGGAAACACAACATTCACATAACTGGCATTCCCAACCCGATGTTACATATCAGAGCAAGACACGTTCTAATTAACGAAAACTAATAAAGTACTTTAAAACTATCTCCAATGCTTCTACAAACTACTCCAGAGCATCTACGCGTTACCCACATGGAGACAACATTCAAACACAAGGGGTGAAATATCATGATAATATAAAGGAAATCATGTTAAATGGTATGCATCAAGTTAACATGACAAAAACTCAACTAAATATCTCACATTAATCTACCAACAATATTATCACCAATTATTCACCAACAAACATCCAATCACACGATAACAAATCAGTTAATCACACAAAACGATATATTTAGCAACATAGCAACATATCCAATGCAGTGAGAATCACACCTGACTTAATGTTTATGCATGTGGTACCAATTTTCGTGAACACTCTGGTTCACCGTTCTAATTTCCACCTTCTAGGATCATAACCACTCACTAATTCATCACCTTCGAATTAGCTACTGGTCCAATCCACACAATGGGATTTTAGCCTCACCAGCAACGAACCATTTTTCCACAAATGTATGCAATACGACTCTTTATGTATACAACAACAGCAACATCATCATGCACAAAAATTCACCACTATGGTTATTATACACCGCCCAAATTGGCCAACAAGCATAACATATAGTTCATGCAACATATATATCTTTTATGCAATCACAACAACTCAACATAATCACATTTGAAGTAATGCTTTATATCACACCACAATATAACCTAACCTCAATCACGTCGAACAATAAAATAACACTATTCATGTTCACAAATGTATGCAATGCGACTATTTATGCATACAACAACGATAATATCATCGTGCATAATAACTCACCACCATGGTTATTGTACACCACCCAAATTGTCCAACAAGCATCAAATTATATTTCATACAATATGGACATATATTATATATTATATATGTGTGTGCGTGTGCGTGTGCGTGCGCGTGTGTGTGTGTGTGCGTGTGTGCGTGTGCGTGCGCGTGTGTGTGCGAGCGTGTGCGTGTGCGTGTGTGTGGGGGGGGGGGGGAGGTGTGTATATATATATATATATATATATATATATATATATATATATATATATATATATATATATATATATATATATATATATATATATATATATATATATATATATATATATATGTGTGTGTGTGTGTGTGTGTGTGTGTATATATATCTGTGTGTGTGTGTATATATATATATATATATATATATATATATATATATATATATATATATATATATATATATATATATATATATATATATATATATATATATATATATATATATATATATATATATATATATATATATATATATATATATATATATATATATATAAATCAATTAAAAACTACTTTGAGAATAAATTTAGAAAATTTGATGGTGTTGGCATACACTTAAATTTGATTGATCTTCCTTCACTTTCAATTGAAGACAATGAGATGTTGGTGGAACCTTTTTCAGATGAGGAAATTTTATAGGCTATTTCGAGTTGTGATGGAAACAAAAGCTCGGGCCCATATGGACTCAATTTGGATTTTTTTAAAAGAAATGTTGGGACATTGTTAGTAATGATGTATCCAAAGTAATCAGATTGTTTCATATGTATGGAAACCTACCCAAAGCTTTGGCTTCCTCCTTTATTGTTCTTATTCCAAAAAAAAGATAATTCTTAGAGAATGGAGGATTTAAGGCCAATAAGTTTGGTGGGTTGTGTTTATATGGTGATATCTAAGTTAATAGCTGCAAGGCTTAGTTTAGTCATTGGTAAGTTAGTTTCAAATACTCAAATTGCCTTCATCTTTGGAAGACAAATGATGGATGGTGCTTCAAGCAAATGAATAGTTAGACTTAGCCAAGAGGAGGAAAGGGAGATGTTTAGTACTCAAAGTAGATTTTGCACAAGCATACAACTGTGTAGATTGGGCATTTCTTGAAGAGGTGTTGATGGCAATGCAGTTCTATCCCAAATAGATTTAATGGATCAGAGGTGGTGTCTTTATAACATACTCGAATCAATAGTGAAATACACACCCTTCGTTTTACAATTACGAGTTTCAAGTCATGTTAATAAGTACACTCACATCAGTATTGATGAATTAACGATCCATATGAATATGATAAAAACAAATTACTAACACCTTATGATTTTTGTTGATATAAGATTATTCTATGATTGAGCACATTTTAAAACACAAATAGTTATCTATATATAAAACTCAAAAGGCATTTAATCCACCATCAACTCATCAAATATATATATCGCAGCACATTTATTGAAATTAATAACCTTTATTAAGTTACACCAAAGAAGCAATTACATAGTACATGCATGCAAGCATAAACAGAAACTTAAATATTAAAATAAACATAAGACGAACAACAACAATAATTAATAGTGAAAAACATAAACATTGTACTCATCAATAGCATATGCAGTTTTGAGATTAAGGTAGTGAGTGGTAACTTGAGCATATCCTCTAGCAAGTTTGAAAAGTCCAGTGCCACCAATAACAGGCATCTCTCTAACCTTATGAGAAATAGGATTACTCCCCAAAATAGTAAAAGTACTTCCATTATACTTTCCTTCAATTAAAGCAAAATTCATACCCATAAACAAAGAAAACTCCTCCTGTGATGCATAAACATAGAACCCTTGAGATTTTCCTACAACCTTGGATCTCAATTCTGGTCCTAAAGTCAAAGGGTTGTCAATCATATTAAATGAACCAAAAGAAGTGCTTGAGTTTAGCTTCTTTGGTGTTGGAACTACTTCAATAGAAGTTGAATTCTTTCCACTCGCTATGCTATGCCAGTAGAACTTCAAATGGCTTAGCTTTTCTTTCTTGTTTAGGCCTAACACCTTTTTGGCTTCTTCATTTTCTAATGATGATGTTGAAGTGATGGTGTGGCAAGAGATAAGAAAGAAGAAGAAGATAGTGATGAAGTATTGGGTAGACATTGCTGTGTGTTTAGTAAGAAAGTAAAGCATTGAAGAGAGAATATAATATTGAAAGTTGAATGAAGTGAAGTGAAGTGAAGGTGAGGGCTTTATTTATAAGACGAAAAACAATGATTTTTAAATAATAGTAAATTCTACGCTTTACAATTTGTAGGTGTGAGTATGGTCAAGTTCATATAATCAAATCCCTTACAATTAAATGTTCTGTATCACTAGGTAGGTGTAAGTATGGTAAGATTTTGGTAGAAACATTAATTGATAGGACGTTTGGATTCACACACTTCATTTTTCTTGGTTGCACTTGTAACAATATGTTGTTTTAGCTTAAATCATTCATTGTTCACTATTCATTCTATTAACTTTATTCATGTTTGTATTAGTCTTCTAGAATTTTAATTTTTATTTCGTAAGTTGAATAATTGAAGAGATTGATGAAGTATTGGGTAAACATTGTTGTGTGTAGAAATTAATGAATCTATAACATTAAAAAAAATGTTAAAAAAGAAGTATTTATGCCCATGCTTTATTATCCGCCACGTCTCCAAATTTTGAATATTCTTTGTCCAAATATTCTTTTTCTTTCAAATTTTAAATAAATGGATCGTTACATTTTTTTAAAACACCACACTTTTTTCCTTTTTTAGTTTTTAATTAAAATCTATTTTTCATATTTAAAATAGACTTTCTGTCAAATCTATTAGTTAAATTCCTATCACACATTTTCTTTTCTAATGTTTTGTTTTGTAGAATTGTCATACCACTAAAAAAAATTATCATTAACCTTGGATTTTCACGCCACAAAAAGAAAAATAAAACCACAATCATTATTTAGCAACATGAAAAATTACGTGGCAGGAGCACTTGCGACTCTTCAATCTTTTTGTGATTCTTGATTCTTTTTCGGTTAAGATGTTAAGGACTTGAAAGTAAAGTGCGGAAAGGAAAACGTGACATAAGAGATTTATAGTGGTTCCCCTCACACTCTGAGAGTACTCCACTCCCTTTTCGACTCGAAAGAGATTTCACTATAGTTTAGAATGATTGCACAACCTAATCACACCAAAGGTGAAGCCTACTATCTAATATATATATATATATATATATATATATATATATATATATATATATATATATATATATATATATATATATATATATATATATATATATATATATATATATATATATATATATATATATATATATATATATAGGTAACTAAAGAGTAGGAAGAACAATCCTCTTCAAACACTCACTTGTTTCCAACAATCCTGGATAACAAGGTAATACAAAGAATAATCTTGATATAAATTTGATGTCTTGAGAGTATAATGCTATCAATCTTCACGATCGATCTTCTCCTTGAAATAAATATCACTCAAAAGAAATATACAAGTGTTCTTTCAAAAGTATGAGATAAAACTGTGATAATGTGTGAAATTTATTCAATAGTTTCTCTCAAAAATCTGTTTGTGTGAACACTTTAAGAAATATTGAAAGATGAAGAGAATGAGTGAATTTGATGATTAAGTTTCTTGGAGGTGAATTGAAATTTGAAAACTGATATGTATTTATATTGTACAAAATACCTCTACAGAGGGGTATAATTTTATGTAGCAAAACTGTCAGAAAACAAAAGAAAGCAATGCATATTTTCATGAAAAGCTGTCAATTTTTGCTTACTGCTTCAGGGTTAATCGGTTAACCATATAGGTTAATCAGTTAACACCTCTTTAACGTTAGAAAATATTCAAAAACAACAACTATTAACCGATTAACACTCTAAGTAATTCAACAAAAAATTAATTTTAGCATCTGTTAATCGGTTCTTCGACGACGACTATCGGAGCTGACTATAAAACGCGTCAAAAAAAAAACAAAGACACCAACTTGAAATATTTTTAATGTAGAATCCAAATATGCCATTATTTTTTGCTAAAACACACTATAACAACATTAAAAAGGAACACAAAAATATGATATGAACTTTGAAACATCATGAAAATAGAACAACCACAACACAAACATCATCTACATCATTCCAGAATTCTAAATGAAAATAACATGGGTTCAAAAAGGCATTAGAGAATGAGAAAAAAAAATTGAAAAAAGTGTTACCCACGTGAGAGCTTTATAATTTCTGTTCTTGCTCCAAAAACTCTGCAAACTTCTCCTTTTTCTTCTATAAACCTTGAGGATGATGAATGGAACAAAGGAGATGCCAGAAACTTGGAAAGATATTTTTGAAGGAAATGAAATTCTTGAGAGTGAGAGTGAGTTTTGGTTCTCCTTGAGCCAGAATGAATGTGTGCTGTGGCTTTTAGGGTTTTTTTAGCATTTATATGAGGGTCTAGTGAAGTTAAAAATATAAATGACTGTGTAACCTCTAAAGGAACACCTGCATGTTATAAGGAATCTTCAAAGCTCAAACCGCTTTGGAACCTTCAAGAAGAGTGACGTCTAACTCACACACTAACTGATCCTGAAAAATCAAATCATAACAGGTAGATACCAAAAATTAAAGGCGACTCCTTAGAGTTCCAACTTAAGCTATATTCGCAGTCTGCAAACGGCCAAACATTTTGCAGTAAATCCCAAAAATCAATCAACTTCCTTTTCATAACAGAGCCACTAAGAAAGAGAGGAAAATAAATGTTCCAGCTCCCCCTTAAACCGCTCCAGCTACCCGATTCTCCAACTGAACAAGTCGACCTAATGTCAAACAAGACTTAGTAATATTTGTGACTATAATACCTTTCCAACTTGTAACCTGTAATAAATTTGCATACATTATTATTATAATAAAATATTAAATAAATCCAATTTATTTTTATATATAATATAAATTATTTTATAAGCTATCTTGAAAATTTATAAAAATAAATTCAAAAATATTTATGAAAAAATTATTAGTTTTTTTTTTATAAAATCTAGCAAAAGGTCATAAAGTTTATGAGGTAAATCATCTCAAATAAAAAAGAATCCAAAAAGAATTTAAATCTATCAGGCTTTGTTTAACGAACGTTTACAATAAGATAAAATCTAATTAAAAATTGAATTAGATTTTAATTTTTAATTTTAATTCTCCTTGAGCCAGAATGAATGTGTGTTGTGGCTTTTAGGGTTTTTTTTAGCATTTATATAAGGGTCTAGTGAGGTTAAAAATATAAATGATTGTGTAACCTCTAAAGGAACACCTGCATGTTATAAGGAATCTTCAAAGCTCAAACCGCTTTGGAACCTTCAAGAAGAGTGACGTCTAACTCACACACTAACTGATCCTGAAAAATCAAATCATAACAGGTAGATACCAAAAATCAAAGGTGACTCCTTAGAGTTCCAACTTAAGCTATATTCGCAGTCTGCAAACGGCCAAACATTCTGCAGTAAATCTCAAAAATCAATCAACTTCCTTTTCATAACAGAGCCACTGAGAAAGAGAGGAAAATAAATGTTCCAGCTCCACCTTAAGCCGCTCCAGCTACCCGAGTCTCCAACTGAACAAATCGACCTAATGCCAAACAAGACTTAGTATATTTGTGACTATAATACCTTTCCAACTTGTAACCTGTAATAAATTTGCATACATTATTATTATAATAAAATATAAAATAAATTTAATTTATTTTTATATATAATATAAATTATTTTATAAGCTATATTGAAATTTTATAAAAATAAATTCAAAAATATTTATGAAAAAATTATTAGTTTTTTTTTATAAAATCTAGCAAAAGATCATAAAGTTTATGAGGTAAATCATCTCAAATAAAAAAGAATCCAAAAAAAATCTAAATCTATCAGGCTTTGTTTAACGAACGTTTACAATAAGATAAAAGCTAATTAAAAATTAAATTAACTCGAACTATTATTTCCTATATTATATTTTAGAAATTAAAGACATGATTTTTTCTCTTTGTACAAAATTTATATTTTCATGTTGTTTTCCATTGTGCTTTTAAATGTTTTTGATTTACTACATCGTTTGCCTTTACATTGAACCCAGACCCGATGTAAAATGTGTTTTTGACCCTATATAAAAAGTCATTTCTGCACCGGTGTTTGTATCACATCAAATTATTTACAATTTTGTCCATAGTATAACTTAAGTGGGTGTGAGTATGGTGAGGCTCATATCACATCAAATCATTTTCAAATAAATATTCAATGTAATTAAGTAGGTGTGAGTATGGTGAAGGTCAATATCATCAAATCATTTTATAAAAACAAAAAAGACTATAACAATAGTATGTGGGTGTAAATGACATTTATCTATGGTTCTTTTCTGTCACTAAAATGTTCCATTAGTATATATAAATATATGGGAGATTAGTGTATTTTTTAAACTAGACAAAATGTCGGTAACATTTTAACCATTTTAAAGGGAGATGAGTGAAGTTTCTCTAGTTTTTTCAAAAAAATTATCAAAAATATATTTTGAAAAGTTTATAAACATAAATTATTTTAAAAATTTGTTATAAAATTTTGGTTTAGATATTAATTTGTTTTAATATATTTTTTAATAATAAATTTAATTTTTAAAATTTAAAACTATTTTGGTATAGATAGTATTACCCGATGAAACTATATAGGGATCCACCAACGAATTTTCCTATAAATTAACCTCCATTCTTCACTTAACTTCATTTATCTTTCTTCATTCACTTCTATTTTCCACTACTTTACATTCCCGACAATGTCTACACCATATTTCCTCACTCTCTTCTTCGTGCTTCTCCTCTCTTGCAACACATTCTCGTCATCATCATCATTATCAGAAAAACTAAGTCATTTGAGATTCTATTGGCATGACATAAGGAGTGGAAAAAATCCCACCTCGATTGGAATTGTTGCTCCTCCAATGAAGCTAAACTCAACCACTGGATTTGGTTTTGTCGACATGACTGACAATCCTTTAACTTTGGAGCCACAACTGAGTTCCAAACTTGTTGGAAAATCTCAAGGCTTCTACGCATCTGCTTCACAGGTTGAGATGGATGTTCTTATGGCTATGAGTTTTGTTTTCGTGG